TGTGGTGCTGAGGAATCGAACCCAGGGCCTCATGCATGCAAGGCAAGCACTCTACCACTGAGCCACCTTCCCAGCCCTAATTTTACTTTTTGAGATAGCATCTCATTATGTAGCTCAGGCTGACCTTGAACTCCTATCTCAGCCTCCCGGATGCTGGAAATATAGGCATATACCACTATGTGTGGTTCAAATATATAAATTCTCTGTCTCTCTGTCTCTGTCTGTCTCTTTCTTTCTTCCTTCTCTCCCACCTTACCTCCTCCCTCTTTCTTTCCTTCTTTCCTTCTGCTGGTATCAGGGCTTTTAGTTCTGGCCCTCTTAACTTTCGTGTTCTCAGTGGGCATTCTACCATTTGAGCTACCAGTCCAGAATTTTACTAGTTATTTGGAGATAGTCTCACACATATTTTCTACCCAGGTTGGCTTCAAACCTTGTTCCTCTGATCTCAGCCTCCTGGGTCATTACTTTAGAGTAAGCCTCCAGTGTCTGGCTTCAAAGGTATTTTTTTTTAAGAATAAAACTTAACCACATCAATATTTGCATGCTAATAAAGCTTACTATTTGGCTTATCTAAATTCAAAAGAGCTATTTTCTTTTTCTTTCTCCATATAAAACACTTCCTTTTTTATTGAGGCATAACTTAATAACTTACACTTCAATGAAAAGGTATAAAAATAAAAAAAATGTCATTTATCAAGAACAAACATACCCATGGCACCAGTAGCCAGGTTAGCAAACAGAACATTTCCAACACAGCAGAATACCTCCAGGCCCCTGCATCCCCTCTCATACAACCTTTCATCTTCACCCACTACCTCCTTCCCACTCTTCCCTCAGTTTCCATTCTTGCTTGTGGTTGTAACTGGTTTATTCACATCATTGGAGAGTCATCCATAGTATAAATGGAACAATCTTTGTCATTTGTTCTTATATGGCTTAGCATTGGGATTATTTCTGGTTTGGGGCTGTCATGCAGACTTTTTTGTCCGTCTTTTGGTGAACATACAGACACATTCTCTGTTGCCTCAGAGTGGAACATCTGACCATTGAAAAGAGCCATTTTCTTAGTCCCAACTTGCCTCAGAACAAATTTGTATGGAGATCAAGACCAGGGAACATTTACAACTGATTTACTTTAACAACAGTACAACCAAGTGCCAGTGTTAAGGCTGAGATCTGAGGATCACAGCTCAACGCCAACCTAGGCAGGAAAGTCTGTAAGACTCCTATCTTTAATTAACCACCAAAAAGCCAAAAGTGGAACTATAGTTAAAGTGCTAGCCTTGAGCAAAAATGCTCCAGATCCTGAGTTCAAGACCCAGAATTTGTACAAAAAATAAATAAAAATAACTTTCCAATCAAATTGAATTAATATTTCTGAGTTTAAAATAGTCATACATTCAAATATTGACTCAAAAACTATCACTGGACCAAGAAAATACTGAATGCATAGAGAAAAAGGAGGCAAACCTACCCAACCCATTCCTAGAATAAAAGAAGCAATGATGACTCACCAAGTCGCCTCACTTATCTCAAATGAAGAGCACACACTTCTTCAATTAGCTAACTATTCACACATCATCTTGGCTTAAATCATAGAGTAAGCTTAGAGCACAACAGACTGAAAGGAGTACATCTACAAAATAGCAGATCCTGTGCCATCCCGGTGCAGAAAAACTTTGAAAATGCATAACGATCTTTTGTGTTAGCAAATGAAATACTTATGACTGAAAACAAGACTATGGCGCAAACCTTCAGGAATAAAAATCTTACATGCTGGGGCTCATCTTCTGCTGACATTGCATTGTTAACACATAAAGCTTCTAAAAACTTCTGCTTCAGGATAATATAACGAAACCTGTGTAGAAAAAATAAAAATGAATCATTAAAAGGATTTAAATTTGTTTTAAGGATTAAAAGCTAAATGATAGATGCCTGGCATAGGGAGTGTATGACAATGAACCCAGCACTTGGGAGGCTAAGACAGGAAAATCATGAATTCAAGGCCTATCTATGCTACATGGTGAGGCCTTCTCTCAAAATATAAATACAACTCAAAAGCTGAAATGATAGCAATGTCCAATACTAGAAAAGTGCTTAAGTTTCTGAAGCAAGAAACTAGTGCTAGGGATCAAACCCAAGGCCTGTTCCTACTAGGTAATATTCTAATAGTGAGCTATATCACCAATTTGGCCAGGTTTGTTTTACAGGACTAATTATTTATTTTAAAAGAAACTTCTTTAAAATATTAATTTTCCAGGCTGGGAATGTGGTGTAGTAGTAGAGTGCTTGCCTAGCATGCATGAAGCCCCGAGTTTGATACCTCAGTACCATATAAACAGAAAAAGCAGGAAGTGGCACTGTGACTCAAGTGGTAGAGTGTTAGTCTTGAGCAAAAGAAGCTCAGGGACAGTGTCCAGGCCCTGCGTTCAAGCCCCAGGACTGGCTAAAAAAAATTAATTCTCCAGTGTCTGATAAATCAACTTGTAAATTACTGTAAAACTTGCTTTCAGAAAACTCCTGAAATATTTCCCTAAGTTTCTTATCACATTGAAGTCAGAGCTGAAAAAATTTAATTGAAAGTAACCACATTTTAATACTCACAAAGAAAAAATTTTAAATCCAATATTAAATCTGCAAAAAAATTAAGTTTTAACCAATCATGATGATACATAACTAAAATCCCAATCATTTAAACTACTCAAGAGGTGAAGGTAGGCACCACCTCCTGCTTTTTATTTTTTATTTTATTATTTATTTATTTATTTTTGGGTCTGGTCGTGGGGCCTGAACTCTGGGCCTGGGCGCTGGTCCCTCAGCTCTTCAGCTCAAGGCTAGCACTCTACCACTTGAGCCACAGCGCCACTTCGGGCTTTTTTTCTTTTTGCTTATGTGGTGCTGGGGAATTGAACCCAGGGCCTCAGGCATGCAAGGAAAGTGCTCTACCACTGAGCCACCTTCCCAGCCCCTGCTTTTTAATTTTTAATGTTTTTTTTTCGTGCACGCGCGTGCGCATGTGTGTGTGTGTTTGTGTGCGTGTGTGTGCGCACACACATGCTAGGCCTAGGGCTTAAATTCAGGACCTGAACACTGACCCTGAGCATTTTTGCTCAAAACTAGTTCTCTACCATTGGAGCCAGAGCTCCACTTCCAACTTTTTGATAACTAATTGGAGACAAGAGTATCATGGAATTTCCTGTCAGTATCACGGAATTTCCTGTCCAGGCTGGCTTTGACCTTCTCAGATCTCAGCCTCCTAAATAGCAAGGATTACAGGCGTGAGCCACTGACATCCAATTTAATGTGTTTTTATATATTTTATTTTTTTTTTTTTGGTCCGGTTGTGGGGCCTGAACTCTGGGCCTGGGTGCTGTCCCTCAGCTCTTCAGCTCAAGGCTAGCGCTCTACCACTTGAGCCACAGCGCCACTTCTGGCTTTTTTCTTTTTTTGTTTATGTGGTGCTGGGGAATCAAACCCAGGGCCTCATGCATTGCAAGGTAAGCGCTCTACCACTGAGCCACCTTCCCAGCCCCTATATATTTTATTTTCAATATGGCTCTGCATCTTGAACTCCAACAATTGTACTTATGCAAGCGCTATTTGAGCTAAGCCTCCTCCCCTCCTTTAACATTAGTATAATCTGGTAAAAATAGGGCAGAAAGGGTAGGAAAATGAAAAACACTTCAGCTGGTTTAAACAGTTCTCAGCCTCTTATATAGGTAGAATTACAGGTGTTAACCACCAGTGAGTGCCCGGCTGTTCTTGGAAAATGATCACTTTAAGGGGTAAAATCCAAAAGTTATAAAGGCTTTCCAGCTGAAGGCACTCCCCAGTCCACTCATGCAAACTAGAACTCAAGCAGAAAGCTGAAGCGTTAGAAGTCACAGGCCTGAAAAGCCAACAAAAAGTTTGGTACTGCCAACCACCAGTGGCTTATGCCTATAATTTTAGCTACTCAAAAGGCTTGGTTTCACAGCTGTGATCTGAGGATCACAGTTCAAAGCCAGCCTAGACAAGAAAGTCCATGAGATTCCTATCTTAATTAACCACCAAAAAGCCAGAAATAAAAAGCTATGGCTCAAGTGGTAGAATGCAGTCTTTTTTTTTTTGGGGGGGGGGGTCCGGTCGTGTGGCCTGTACTCTGGGCCTGGGTGCTGTCCCTCAGCTCTTCAGTTCAAGGCTAGTGCTCTACCACTTGAGTCGCAGCACCACTTCTGGCTTTTTTCTTTTTGCTTATGTGGTGCTGAGGAATCGAACTCAGGGCCTCAGGCATGCAAGGCAAGCGCTCTACCACTGAGCTACCTTCCCAGCCCCTAGAGTGCAGTCTTGAATAATAAAAGCTAAGGGACAGCACCCAGGCCCTGAGTGTAAGACATAGTATGGGCACAATGAATGAATGAATGAATGAGTTCAGTATTCCCACAACAGATGAAATGTGAGAGGAATCCACAATAAGAGGGAACCACAGTAAGAAATACACTAAAATTGCTGGGCATCAGTGGCTCACGCCTGTAATCCTAGCTACTCAAGAGGCTGGAATCTGAGGATCGTGGTTCAAAGCCAGCTCTGGCAGGAAAGTCTGTGAGACTCTTATCTCCAATAAACTACTCAGAAAAAGCCAGAAGTGGTGCTGTGGCTCAAGTAGTAGAGCGCTACCCTTGAGCAAAAGCTCAGGAACAGTGCCTAGGCCCAGAGTTGAAGACCCAGGACTGGCAAAAAGAAAAAGAAAGAAAGAAAAAGAAATATACTAAAATCTACCAGAGGCTTTGCTTATCTCCTAAACTATGAGGGTACAAGGAAGATTCCAAGGAGCCCCCAAAAAGCAACAGAAAAGTCAAAAAACCAAACAGACATTTCAGCTGGTATCCACTAGAGGGCAGACAAATTTGCATTTTGAGGTTAACAAAATTAATGACTGCATAAAAATTAATTTTTCAAATGAAGATAACCAAATTTAAGAATAACAGAACTGAAGAATGAATCTACAGCGTGGGATGTAGCTTCAAAAGTACATGTTTGTATTCCCAGCTATGCAGGAGGCAGAAACAGGAAGATCACAGTTTGGAGGACAGCTAATGCAGTTATCAAAATCTTATCTCAAAAACCCAGGAATGGTGGCTCACACCTTTTGTCTAGCTACTCAGGAAATAAAGGTCCAAGACTAGACCAGACAAAGTTAGGGCAAGTGCCTATCTGAAAATCAAACTAAAAACAAAAGCACTGAACATTGGGTCATGAGTGCTTGCCTATGAAGAGCAAGGCTCAGAGTTCAAACCCCAGTACCACATGTAAGCATATGCCTATAATCCTAACACTCAGAGGGCAAAAGCAAGAGGATTTCAAGGACAAGACCAGCCTGATATACTGACATACATAGGTGTTCCCCCAAAATTTAGAGAGATACTATGGTTTGACTCAATGCTATAGCACCTAGTTAGCATGTGTGAGAATGTCGGTTCAATCTCCATCACCACCAAAAAATTAAATAGTAAGGCCTCAGTCCTGTGTCACAAAAAGCAATTTATCTAACATCATGACCCAGAGGCAAAGAGATAGGAGACATGAGCATGGCAGCACACCTGTAATCCCAGCTACCTGGAAGGTGGTGACAAAGAGGATGGGGAGTTCAAGGCATGCCTAGGTAAAGATAAAGAAACTGTCTCAAAAAAATTAAAATAAAAACAAAGCCTGGGACCATAGTTCAAGTGGTAGAAAACTCATCTAGCATGTGTGAGGCCCTGGATTCAATTCCTAATACCATAAAGATATGGAAGAGAAAATTTGAAGAAACAATGACCAAAATTTCATGCCAGGAGCTAGTAGCTTACACCCATAATCCTCAGTACATAGGAAGCTGAGATCTGAGGATCATATTTTGAAGACAGCTTGGATGGAAAAGTTTGTCAGGCTCTTCTCTAATTAACTAGCAAAAAGCCAGAAGTAAGTCTGTGGCTCAAGTGATCAAGTGCCAGAATTGAACAGAAAAAAGTCAAGTAAGAATGTTAGATAATGAGTTCAAGTCCCAGTACAAAAATTTTCCTTTCTTCCAGGAAAGGAATGAAGAAATTAAGGTAGAAAGAAAAGAAGAAAGCAGGCAGGCAGACACATTGAATTATAAGAGATTAAGGATACAAATTATAGATGACAACTCATGAGAAACAATAGAAACCTAAAGCTTTCATGCTATTATGAAGACACAACCCTTAGGATTTTTTACACACTATTGAGCAAAAGGATGTGCATATCAGAGCTGCAGATATTCGAAGCATATGCAACTTGTCCTGCAGAAGTGCTCCAACTTAGTATGGTTGGTTATACTGCTTTAGAAAAGTCCTGTTTAAAATTTTTGGGTTTTTTTTTGCTATATTTCTGACAATGACAAAGCACTAAAACTTTGTATAAAGTCTTACCTACCTTTTTTTGTCAAACTTTTCCATACATTCTAGAGGCTGAATGAACTGAAGAACTTCATCCCATTGACCATCAAGGATTAGTTGCCTAAAGAAAAATCCAGAACACTATCAAATTTAGAATATGTTAATAGATGATACTCAAACACTAAAACAATTTTTCACACCAGTGATGACATATTATCTATGAAAAGAATTTATGATTCTGCATTCACTCCTCGTGTTAGCATAAATATAATTTTGATCTCTAAAAGAACTTTAGCCGGGCGCCAGTGGCTCACACCTGTAATCCTAGCTACTCAGGAGGCTGAGATCTGAGGATCACGGTTCAAAGCCAGCCTGGGCAGGAAAGTCTGTGAAACTCTTATCTCCAATAAACCACCAGAAAACCGTAAGTGGCGCTGTAACTCAAGTGGTAGAGCGCTAGCCTTGAGCTAAAGAGCTGAGGAACAGCACTCAGGCCCAGAGTTCAAGGCCCATGACCAATCAAAAAAAAAAAAAAAAAGAACTTTATACTTTAAACAAAAAAGTTCCTTATTTCTCTATTCATCTTCAGTTTTAAAGCTAGTATTTTATTTTCTTTTTTGGTGCCAATACCAAGACCTGAATTCAGGGCTTTGAGTTCTTGCTCAGCTTTTCTACTCATGGCTAATACTCTACTATTTGGGCCAGTATTTTTGATGATTAATTGGAGATAGTTCCTTGGACTTTTCTGCCTGGGCTGGCTTCAAACCATGATCTTCCATATCTCAGTCTCTTAAATAGCTATGATCATAGGCCTGATCTACCACCAGCATCTGGCTAAATAAAGTATGTATTATTAAAAGACTATTAGTGGTCAAATCTTGACAAGCATGTATAGACAAGCCCTAGCTAGATTCAACCCCAATACTGTAACTCTTTATTTCCAATTAACCAGCAAAAAAGCCAGAACTGAAAGTGTAGCTCAAGTCATAGAGTCCAAATATAAAAGTTAAATAAAGCCCAGTGCTGGTGGCTCACGCCTGTAATCCTAGCTACTCAGGAGTCTGAGATCTCAGGATTGTGGTTCAAAGCCAGCCCATGCAGGAAAGTCCATGATACTCTTATCTCAAATTAACCACCAGAAAACCAGAACTGGAGCTGTGGCTCAAAGTGATAGAGAGCTAGTCTTCAGAAAAAGACCTCAGGGACAGTACCCAGGCCCTCAATTCAAGCTCCATGACCGACCAACAACAAAAAAGTTAGGGTGCAGTTCAAGACCCCAGTACTGGCACACAAAAACCAAAGTCAAAACAAGTAGAGATCAGAGGAAACAGCAAGGAACAAGAACAATTTTCATCCTCCTTTAAGTGGTCTGTAAAGTTTCCAAAAGTTCCAAGGTACTCTTTCTTCTTATACAATAACAATTTCCCTATTTTTGAATACTTTGTAACAGTAAAATATAGAAACAGAAAGATGGGCAGAAGGACTTATCATATAAAATTGACAACATATGATTCTGCTTATAAAGGAACATTTTTAATTATTATGTTTTAAAAAACAGGAAGACACAATTTCAAAGATACTTACTGTCTGGGTAATTCTATGCATTGGTAATTCTGTGCACTTCACCTCAACATCAGTTAAATTTCATTATAAACCTACAGGATCCTGCAGATATTTAAAAACTAGTACAAAATTCCAGAAATATCAGTACTTGAAACAGAACCAAAAGAACACAGCCTCATACCAGTTACATCACTCAGTAAGCCCCCAAAATCTGGAAGACCACAGCATAAGTGATAGAAATACAAATGTAAATAAACTTTAATGATAAAGCTTTGTATTTTTTAAGGAAAACTCATTTTGCCCAATAACATGTACTTTTTGCTATTGCATAAAAATAGAATACATTCTGCCTGGAAATGTGGGATCTTTTTTTCCATCCAATTCAAATTGAGATATATTTAGCTTTCCATTTTGGCAAATACATCAATTCCCTTTGCTTTGCAATTCCAACTCCAAGAATCTTTTCCTAAGGAAATAATCTAAGCTATAGAAAAAGTCTCATGTATAAAAGCCACTCAGTAAAGCATTTAAGAAAATTGAAAATAATTCTCTAAAAATAGAAGAACAAACATTGGAAAATTAAGTTGAAAATTATTAATGTATCAATAAATTTGTAATCAGAGAAGATCCTTATGATATTAATGGATAAAACAGGAGTTATGATTCTTGTTTAAGACCTCTGGGTTTTACTACTGAAAATATTCTATGAAAACATCACAGTATTTTGTAAATGCTCCATTATAAAAATACTTGAAAATACTACTTAGTCCTGAATTATTATAAAGTTCTATTTTTAAATCTATATATAATAGTAATATTTAACTTTTTTTCCATACGTAGGGCTTGAACTGTAGGCTTGAGCGCTGTCCCTCAGCTCTTCAGCTCAAGGCTAGTACTCTACCACTTCAGCCACAGTGCCACTTCTGTTTTTTTCTGTTTACGTGGTGCTGAGAAATGGAACCCATGGCTTCATGCATGCGAGGCAAGCACTCTACCACTGAGCCACCTTCCCAGCCCAATACTTAACATTTTTGAAGGCACTATAAACTTCAGAGTAATAATGAAATCATACCTCAGGAAGAGCATATCATCTGAAAATAGACCATTTATGACACCACTTTCCTTCTCAAGAGCCAACATACTAATGTGAAGCTTCTTTGAATTCAAGAAGTCCAAAATTAGCTTAATGATTTCAACCTCTTTTACGTTCACTGTTTCTTCAGCCGTCATATTGATAGCCTAAGTAGTAAACAGAATAACAAAAAAAAAGTTAGTCCTATTGTTTTATATCTGTTTTACTGCATAGAAACTACACAGGTTTCTTGGGAATGTTTGGTAAGGGAATTCTGAAGTGAAAATGACTTACCAAAACAAAGTCATACCTGCCTGGCATGTGTGAGGCCCTAGTGTACTGGGAGAACCCAACTTATTCCACAATGTTCTAAATACACTGTCAGAAGGATGCCCTAAAATATTCATTCAGTAAGCATTTAACATCTCAGGACACACTGATCCTGTCCTTACAAGTTTACAATCCAGCAGCAATATCTACATTAGAGTCAAACAAAAAAGCCTAAGTTAAAATGTGACAGTGGTAGATTAATGTCATATTGGTAATGTCAATGACATTTGATATCATTGAGGATATAAGTTGTATGATAATAAAACTTTAGAACCTGAAGGGCTGTAAGGGCATTAGTTTAACATTTCATTTTACAGATGATGCCAAAAGTTAAATAACCTAAGTTGTTGTTTTTCTAATATAAAGACTCAGAGAAAAATAAGAAAGGGAAAAAAAGACTCCGAACAACACAAAAAATTACTAGCTGCAAAGAAAGCTCATCAGGATCCCAGTTCAAACCCTGGGCAGACACATTCATGAGATTCCTATCTCCAATTAACCAGCAAAAAGTCAGAAGTGAAGATGTGGCTCAAGCGGTAGAGTACCAGCATTGAGCAGAAGCTGAGCAAAAGCTCAAGTCCCAATACCAAACCCAAAACAAAACAAAAAACTTTATTAAATGAAATAAGGCTACAAGTCTTATCTTTCTCACCAGACCATCTTATTTTAACCAACCTCCCAGGTACAAAAAGACATATATGTATGGAGCACATGGGCAGCAAAGATGGCGCTGGGAGGGGGTTGAGTGGGCAGAGCCTAATTTACTGTAGAGCACATGGCCAGCCAAGATAGCTCTGGGAGAGAGTAGAGTGGGCAGACCCCAATTGATCTTCTGATCAGTACCTAACCAGCCCGTGAAGGCTCAGGTGAATGATAGGGTGTGACCTTGACAGTAATTGGTTCCTCTTCCTCCCTTACCATACCACCCACCCTTTTTGTCTTTAAAAGGGGCTGCTCTCTGTTAATAAACGAGTTTTTCTACCTGCTGGATTTGGCTCCCCGCTGTGTCTGATTGTCTCCTGGGCTGAAGGAGGCTAGGGAACTGGCGAGCTCCGCACTTACCTTTCCTCGGACCCCGTCTGTCTTTTGTGGGAAGGACGAAGACCCAACATATGTAGGAACATTTCTATGTTCCTTAAAGATTTGTGCTGGGCATGGTGGTACACACCTGTAACCCTAGCTCTCAGAAAGCTGAAGGAGACTGAGGCCAGCCTAGATTATATAACAAGTTCCATGCCTCTCATGCTTCACAGTGAGATATTGTCTCAGAAAACAAAAAAATCAAAATCAAAATTAAAATGAAACAAATGATTTGCTTTTAGTAGGTAAAACTCAAAATCACCAGCAGACAATTAAATGGATAATCCATACTATATATACAAATGCAGTGATACAGAACTATACAACCTGAGAGAAAGCCATCATAGAATAATGTAGCTATTAATAAATATTTGTTTAGGGCTGGGAAGGTGGCTCAGTGGTAGAGCGTTTGCCTTGCATGCTTGAGGCCCTGGGTTCGATTCCTCAGCACCACATAAGCAAAAAGAAAAAAGCCGGAAGTGGTGGCGTGGCTTAAGTGGGAGAGCGCTAGCCTTGCGCTGAAGAGCTGAGGGACAGCGCCCAGGCCCAGCTGAAGAGCTGAGGGACAGCGCCCAGGCCCAGAGTTCAGGCCCCACGACCAGACCAAAATAAAAAAATATATTTGTTTAATGCCAGATGCAGTATATCACACCTGTAATCCTAGCTACTTGGGAGGCTGAGATCTAAAGAGCCCAGTTCAAAGCCAACCTGGGGACAGACATCTATGAGACTCTTATGTCCAACTGGCTACCAAAAAACCCAAAGTGGAGGTATGGCTCAAGTGGTAGAGAGCTATCCTTGAGGGCAGAGAGAAAACAAAACAAAAAAAACCTCAAAGACAACAGCCAGGCCCTGAATTCAAACCCTAGGACTAGTACAAAAAATAAATAAATAAAATACACAAAGAAAAATCCAGAAGTTCAGTGTGGTTATCTCTGAATAGAGGAATAGAATTGTAATGAAGGACATGGATCCAGGAAGGATAAGTGAGCAAGGGGAGACTTACTGTTTTGTGGGTTTTTGGTTTTTTTGTGTTTTTTTTTTTTGTCAGTTGTGGGGCTTGAACTCTGGGCCTAGGCACTGTCCCTCAGCTCTTCAGCTCAAGACTAGCACACTACATCTTGAGCTACAGCACCACTTCCAGTTTTCTGATGGTTTATTGGAGATAAAAGTCTCACAGACTTTTCTGCCTGGGCTGGCTTTGAACCACGATCCTCTGATCTCAGCCACCTGAGTAGCTAGGATTACAGGGGTGAGCCACTGGCACTCAGCTTAGACTTTCTGTTTTTGAGACCGAATTTCACTGTAAACCAAGCTGGTCTTGAACTTTCTACTTTCCTGCTTCAGCTTCCAGAGCACTGGAATTACAGATGTTACCATGACTGGCTGGAAAGTAGACTATTAAATTCTTTATCATTTGTATTTATTTATACATTTGTTGTTTGTTTATATAAGTACTTTTAAAATTAATTTTAAAGTGAAAAACCTATCAAAAATGTCTAGCTCGGGGGTGGGGCGGGGGGGGGGTTGAGATGGGAAGGAGAAACAAAGGAGGAGGCAACAATGCTTGGTAAGAAATGTATTCATTATCTTGCCCATGTAATTGTAACCCCTCTGTACCATATTTTCACAATAAAAAAAAAGCCTAGCTCTCAAAGTTCTATTTTTTTTGGGGGGGGGGCGGTCATGGGACTTGAACTCTGGGCCTGGGCACTGTCCCTCAGCTCTTCAGCTCAAGACTAGTGCCCTACCTCTTGAGCCACAGTGCCACTTCCAATTTTCTAGTGGTTTATTGGAGATAAGAGTCTCATGGACTTTGGACTTTCCTGCCTTTTGGACTTTCCTGCCCGGGCTGGCTTTGAACATGATCCTCAGATCTCAGCCTCCTGAGTAGCTAGGACTACAGGCATGAACCACTGGCGCCCAGCTCAAAGTTTGTGTGTCCCTGGTGTGTGTTTTGTGTGTGTGTGTGTGTGTGTGTGTGTGTGTGTCTCCCCCTGGTACTGGGGCTTTTTTTAACTCCAAGCCAGGACAATGTCCCTTAGCTTTTCCATTCAAGGCAAGAACTCTATCACTTGAGCCACAGCTCCTCTGCTGGCTTTCTGATGGTCAATTGGAGATAAAACAGTCTCACAGACTTTCCTGCCCAAACTGGCTTTGAAACTTGATCCTCAGATTTCAGCATCCAGAATAGCAAGTATGAGCTACCAGCACTTGGATCAAAGGCTTTGTTTTATGTCAAGGTTCCAACTAGAGCAGAATCTCAAAATCAAGATTAACTGTTATGTTTTCAATATAAGAACATTCTTGATATTATGAATTCTATTTAAGGGGACCTTACAAAAATACTCTTCACAAAACATAGCTTCCAAATCCCCTAACATCCTGGCCATTCTTAGAATATTTGTATATCGCGTGTGTGTGTGTGTGTGTGTGTGTGTGTGTGTGTGTGTGTGTGCATGCTTGATGAACTCAGCACCTGGGAGCTGTCCCTGTCTTTTTGCTCAAGGCTAGTACTCAACCACTTTTTTGCTCAAGGCTAGTACTCAACCACTTAAGCCACAGCTCCACTTCCTGCTTGTTTTGAGTAGTTAATTGGAGGTAAGTGTCACAGACTCCTTGCCTGGGCTGGCCCTGAACCAGATCCTTAGATCTCAGCTTCCTGAGTAGCTAAGATTACAGACATGAGTCCACAGGGTCCAGCTTGTGAATCTCTTTCTTAACACAACCAAAATAGAAGACAATACTCCCTGGTATGGAATAATCTGGTCTGGTCAACAACTATATACACTAAAACTAGCACTTCGCATAATGAGGACATTCATAATGAACAAACCTAAAGATGTTTTATATCATTTATTTGTAAAATACTGTTGTTGTTTTTTACTGCCCAGAACTTAATTTCCAAACTTTTCTTCAACATGGAAAAGAAAAGCAACCTAATTCTATTTCCAAGTTTTCAAAAAATTGTTTTAAAAAGGTTAAGCCAGTAAAGGAAATGCAAATAAAACAACCCTGACATACCACCTTACCACAGTCAAAATGGCCCACATCCTAAATTCAGCCAATGACAAATGCTGGAGGGGATACAGAAAAAGAGGAACCCTATTACACTGCTGGCGAGAATGTACACTAATACAACCACTTTGGAAAGCAGTCTGGAGGTACCTCAGACCTCCCCTATGATCCAGCCATACTACTCGTAGGCATCTACCCCGAGCAACAGGAATCAGGATACAAGGACACATGCACCTCCATGTTCATTGCAACACTGTTCACAATAGCCAAGATATGGAAACAACCCAGATGTCCCACTACAGATGAGTGGATCCAAAAATTGTGGTACCTGTATACGATGGAATATTATGCAGCCATTTCAAAGGACAAAATAATGGCATTTGCAGGGAAATAGATGAAACTAGAAAAAAATCATTTTGAGTGAGATAAGCCTAGAGCAAAGAGACAAATGGCACAGGGTCTCCCTAATATGTGGATGCTAAATACAAAATGGAAGGAGATAAGACAAAGTAAACAGGACTCGAGAAACAAAGGACCTCCACTCATCTAGTCATATCATTACTAAATGACCCCATGCTGCTGACCACATATATGGTATACATGCACACATCTGAGGGAAACTAGGAGAAGGTCACAGAATCAGAGGGGAAACAGGGGAAAACATATAACAGAGGGACCCATCAGCTGCACTGGAAATTGATGAAAACCAACTAAGCAACTCAAAGGCAGTGAT